AATTTGTTGCATCTTGAATTTTTTCAAGATATGATGACCACTCCTCATAGAAATTGTCCCTAGAAGGAGAGATAATGTCATTAACATTCACATATAAATCAATAATTATCTATATGATTAGATAAAATAAATAAAAATTAATTAATTTTATTATATCTTCTATAATAGCTTCTTAAAAGCTTCACAAATGCTGCTTTGATTTTATAGGTGTCTAGAACTGATTTTTTAGGTTAGAAATATAGTCAACAAGTTAGCCATGTACCATACATATTAGTAGCTTGAAGAATATGCTATTTATGTGGTATATATATAGAAAACTTACCTTTTAAGATAAGGCATGTATCTTACAAAGTCAATACATATTAGAAGTCCTATAGAACATCGCTGTCGTAATACGGGAAGTCTTGCTTGAGAATGCTCCAAGCACTTGGCTGTGGAAGGTAGAATAGAAATTGCTACAACAAAATCCTAATTCTAATAGAACACTAATAATGTTAAACAAGCTTTAATCAAATTTAGAGAAACCTCAAAGGAATTCCAAAGAAAAAATAAGAAATCTTAAAAAAATATTAAAATGAATACAAACATATCTCAAATACATATCAATTCAATCTTAATTTAATCTTAGTGGAAATCTTATTTCATTCCAACTTTAGGCCAAAAACTAACTAAATCTTAAATCCTAAATAATCTCAAATAAAATCCTAAATCCTAAATCAAATCTTGATCAAATCCTAATTAAATCTTAAATCCTAAATCAAATTCTAAATCCTAAATCAAATCCAAATCCTAATCCTAAATCAAATCCTAACCAAATCCTAAATTCTAAACTAAAATCTAATCCTAAATCAAATCCTAATCAAATCCTAAATCCTAAATCAAACCCTAATCAAATCCTAATCCTAAACCAAATCCTAAATCCTTAATTAAATCCTAATGCTAAATCAAACCCTAACCAAATCCTAAATCTTAAAGCAAAATCTAATCCTAAATCTAATCCTAACCAAATCCTAACCGAATCCTAACCAAATCCTAATCCTAAATCAAATCCTAACCCTAAATCAAATCCTAACCAAACCCTAGTAATTTCTATAATAGAATTAAATCTCAATAACTAATGAATGAACTATCGATCTTAACTCAAAATTTGTATACTTCTTATAAACTAAGTTAAAAAAAAAAGCACAAAAATTTTGAAAGGGATCGGAATTTCCAAATAGATGATAACCTCAAAAATATGCTCGGGTATTAGCCGACCTCCTTCTCCAACCTTAATGCCAATCTCTTAGAGCCAATATCTCTTCTTTCTATAGTTCGATTGAACTCAAAATTCTTATACACATAGAAAAACAAGTCTAATATCCTCTCACATAAATTTTACTCCAATCCAACTAGTAGATTGCAAGAAATCTTAAAAACTCTCACTAGACCTAAAATTCTACTTTCTGAGACCTTGACTCACTTAAACCTCAATAACCCTCAATTTAATAATTAGATTAATCTAAGATTCACAATACATATCGAGCACACCTGTGACCATTAATCTACAAAATTTCATTTGTAGATTTGTTATAAAACTCTTGAAATCACTAAAAACATCAACCATATTTTATTTTATAAAACCCAAGTCATCCAAAAATAATCTTGACTTTATAAAGCTCTTACAAAGTCATAATAACTCCAAATCTCCCAAAACCAATGCTTATAAAAACCTTATCTAATCTGCTATCAAACTCTACTCTTTGATTTACAAAACAAACCTCCTAATTGTCGTAGATACTCAGTTTTGTGCCTCAGGGTCTGATTTCAACCTAGGTTGATAACCAACCCTCCTCGGGTATCAATATCTAATTTTTTTAGATATTTTTTGCTAGAATTTATTCTTAACTTCTTCCTAAAGATGTTTATATTATTTTTTTTTTCAATCTACTTTATTTTTCCTTATTTTTGGCCCTACAAAGTAAGAAGAAGTTATTTTTTTTAAAATGACAACATTACTACTAAAAGTTTTATTACCTTCATATTTTTTATCCATATTTTTCTACTTTTTTTTAACTTGATTCTTCTATAATAAGATCTATATTATTATCTTTGACCATATGGTCATGTTACAACATGACATCGCTATATAGCTCCTAGTTAGATAGTATATATAAAAGCAAGAGTGAAGCCTTCTTCACTCTAGTTAATTTTTTTCTTGCTTCTAGTTTAGATTCAAGAATCTCTAGCTTCTTTTTCTTTTGACAATAGCCATTTTAGTTTCTTTTTAATATATATACTACTTTATTTCTATTTTATTACTTTTCTTTTTACATATATTTCTCAGATTTATGCATCTTCTTCTAGTTCATTTCCTTAACGACTACTTGAAAATGAGACCTTTTGTTATTTACCTTATGTGCATCTTTTATATCCAAGTTGTATTATATTTTGGCTTATTTTGCCATGATCTAAGCTACTTACTATAGACTTAAGCTTTGTCATGCTCTTTACATTCAAATCGTCAATGCAATAATGCCATATATTTAATTTGACTTGGTTTAATATAAATTCAATAAATGTACCTACCTCCACTATATTGACCTTTTTACACTTGAGGTAATATAAATTTTTTTCTCTAGAGTCCTTGGCAATGATGTTTCTATATAATATTTTCACAAAACATCCATTCATATTCAATTAAACCATAAAACCTTCCATTACAAGTTTACTCATTGAAAATAGGTTTTGTTTCATCTTTGGCATATGGAAGATATTTTTTAATTAGATCTTATTGATTTATCTATTTATAATCACTTCTACTATAATAGAATCAATTTCAATGGTTTCACATGTACTACTGTCCTCCAAAATCACATTTAATGCTGGAATAGCTTCATAAGTATTAAATGAATACTAATAAGGTGTCATATACTTGGAACAACTTAAGTCCACAATCCATCTTAACATGGCAGCCATGGAGGTGCTATTTGTTGCTATGAATACATAATCTTATCCTCTAAATTCATCTTACATACTATTTATATTCTTCCTTTCAATTTTTTGCCTTTGTAATAATTTTGAGTAAAAAGTCCTACTTTGCTACAAATGAAGGAAGTTTTGACATTACCACATTGATTTGAATAGTTATCCTTGCTTTATTATAAATAGAGTGTTGAATCTTCACTTTGAGGCTTTTTTTTTTTCTTCTTGGTTACTTTATGGCTAAGTCTTGCTATCACATAGTCCATTGTGGGTTCTTTTAACTTGATGGATTCTAAAGCCATAATAAGATAGTTGTAGGATTTTAGCAAGCTCATGAATAGAGTCATGCTAATATCTACATCTTCTAAGGACTTGTATATTATTATAAGTTAATTTATAAATGCCTTCACTTTATTAATGTATATCATAAGATCTTCATATTCTTCCATCTTGCAAGTAAAAAACTTCCTCTTTGTATAGATGATGTTAGATAAGTTTTTTTTCTTATAGATATTGTAAAGAGTCTTCTATGCTTTTACTAGACTTTTACAAGAGATAATGTAGGAAAAATTGACTTCATCAATATTATATGCAATTAATCCAAAAGCCTTCTTTTTATAATACTTTTAGTCTTTTTTTCCCTTCATATTAGTATGCATATTTAGAGGTTCTTCACTTTCATTTATAATATCCTAAAGATCCAAAGAAGCTTACAAAAGTTCTATTTTTATCTTCCAATGGTAGAAATTTTTACCTCTAAATTTTTTAATTACTCTCAAGCCTTCACCCTCACTTGAAGTTATGTTTAATGGAGAGATGAATCAAAAAAGATCAAAAAAATACTCTTAAAGCTTTCAAAATCAGTAAGAAGATGTTACTACCTTACAATCTCAGAATGCCTTCTTTGTAAATAAACTAGTATTTTCACTCTTAAAACACTTTTAACTTCAGTTTTAGGACTTTCCACAAGTCCAATGAACTATAAAAAAATCTCAAATCAGATTTATCATTTTTATATTACTTTTATAATCACAAATTATTTTTAAATACCATAAGAGATCTTCTAAGTACCTAAAGCTTCTTTAACATATGAAACTACAAAGTTAGTCTATCAAAGATTATATTCAATAAAAATATATATATATATATATAAATATTTTATAATATCACCTTAAGGTATAAAATATATTCTAAATTCAAAATGCACTTAATAACAAGTAAGAATGAATCAAGATTTAGATCTAGATCTAAATCTAAAAGTTAGGAGATTCTAAATTCTAACACTAGGAAAAATAACATGATTTATTTCAAACAACAACAAAGACTTCATATAACTTCAAAACTCACAAGCAAATGTGACTAGATCTATAACTTGATGAAGAAAGAGAAGTTAAAGCCACAACATTGAGCATTAATAAAATTGTACATAAAGAGAAGTATGAAGTAAGATGACTTTTACTTCTAATACTCTTTACTTGTAGATGAAGTTTACATCTATTATAGATAAACTTCATCTAAAATTACTTTCATCTTTTTACACTACATCTTACTAAATTCTATATTCTTTTTAACCTAATCTCTACGTAAAATCTTAGCTATTATTATAATAATTTCTTTTAATCCTTTGCTATCTTTTGATTATTAGCAACTTACTATGGTTTAATTCTATGTGGTGGCAACTATATAAGATCTTATTAATCTTCAATATTTGCTTATATTTTTTAAATTTATTTTTTAATATAATCATTCTTTTATTCTATTTATATCTATATATGGATATAAAAAATAATTCAATTTTCTATTTGTTAGAATCAAATTTTAGATACTTCAAAAAAAATTGATACAACAAAATTTTAAGTATTGTTACTCATTCACCTCATGTTTTTTGATTTTGAAATTTCTTGACTTCAAGCAACTCTATATCATCTCAAATGTTGAATCATGCTACATACAAAATACAAGTAATTTTGTTACATTAGTGTATCTAACACAAGAATCACAAAGCATTTGGCACTAGCAATAGACAAGCTAGCAAATTAAGATAAATAGATGTATTTATAATGGAACAAAATCAATCACAAGATATATTGAATCCCGAAGGCATTCTTGATATGAACACGTATATTATCTCTCAGCAATAGTTTGATCTTTGCTTGACATAGTGGTAATTGTCTTATGCACGCACTCAAAATGTACTTGGTCCAATGCTTATATGAAATCCAATTGAGTCTTCGATAGGAATAAGATATTCCATAATAGTTGTGTTGAGGATTAACCATCTAATTGAAGTATGGCATAACCAAATGATGTTAAAAAATGAAGTAGATGAAAGAACATCACTGATTATGTAAATATATGTATATACATACACACATACACACATATACACACATTATATATTAATCTCCAGAAGACCTAGGTCACTTCACATTGATTGAACAGTTGTGAAATTAGTTTGGTGTGAAAACCTACCAGAACAGTTTCGCATTTGGTAGCAAATGCTCCCTCCCCTTCTTCGACATCAAAACATTAGAGTCCTGTTGTCACATGAACGTTCGCTGAGAATGTTGACTTCCATTTCCTTCATGAGAGTAGTCAACGAACACGGCTGACATATTTACAGCTTCATATAAAGATGAATAAGGGATAACTTCAGAATCAGCAACTTATGCACCTTGCTAAGAAATAGTCGAATTCTGAAACTATTTCTGACTAAATTTTAAATATCCTGGCAACACAAGGATTCTTTACAAAGAGACAGCATGGCAGCTAAATCTTGTCAGCTTCCTTCATAGCACTTCATTACGCAATTACAGTAAAAAATAAAGATGCATTAGACTAAGCAGAGATGCTGCTGTCAAATACCATTTCAACAGAAGCAAATCGAACAATCGGAGCGTAAGATTGATAAAGAAATCTCATTGAAGAATAAAATTATATCAAGCTCTGCATTCCCTCATTAAATTACATTAGTATAGTTAAACTTCACTCGCAATCAACCCGTACCGAAGAATATAGGAAATTAAGGTACCACTCGTGACACGATCCACTTCAGCAATAGCCTTCTTGATCCACCGATTTGTCGCCCGTGCCTCTTTCCCATCCCCGAAGACGCTTGTTACCAAATCGCCAAATGTCACTCAAATGAATTCCTGAGGTCCAACCAACGCAGCATGCTCAATTCCGTCCCTCCCACTGCCAGAGGTCAATCAAATACCTCGTTCTTCACATTGAGAGCACCAAACCGAGCTTCAAATCCACCAAATCGCGTCTCCAGGCCGACACTGCGAATCAACACAGTAACCTACACACTGCAAGTGAAAGGCGTCCTCTATGAAACAAAACTCAAACAAATCGGTAGAGAAAACTGGAAAAGACAGATGGCAAACCACAAGACCTGAACGACGCGGTCACACATGCCGCAGGGTGTTGAAAAAGACGGCGAGGCAGAGAAAGGACCGAAGCCATGGTTGGCACTTGAATGAAGACGATCATCCCCCACTGCTCTCGTGGGGCAAATGCACTGACAGTAACAGATAGAATCGAACCACCACAACTGAAAAACAATATTAATAAAACAAACAAACAAAATTCAGTCGGCATATCCTTTCTCCGATTGAAAGGATAGGCAAAACGAGGAAAGCAAATTTTGTACTGGCATGCTTAAAGGAGATTAGAATACTTGTTAACGTTCGTATGAATTTGTTGTTGAGGCCTTATGTTACTAAACTTGCTATGTCTCCAACTCTTTCTTCTCTTATGATGCTCTGTTTCAGTTTGTTCTCTCTTGTCCATTGATCTATCTTCTTTTTGTACAACCATTACGTCTACTTTTTCAAATATTTTATTGGTGTTATATTCTAGAAAGTTTATTTAGCTTGACTTTGTTACTAAAGCTAAGGTTCTATCTTCTCTTAGGTTCTAATTCTTCTCTTCTTTGTAGGAATTGGATATGTAATGACATTGTTTTTTGAAGGTATAACATATCTTGAATTATATAAATTATTGAGCTAATGGTCTTTTAGATAGTAGGCTCTTGTTTCAAATATTTTGATTCTAAATAATGAATAGTTTTAAATGTTGAAAATACTTCTGCAAGTTTTATAACTATGGAACTTTCTAAAGTTAATACTAATGTTGGTGTTGCTTAGACATGGTTTGGAATAGTAGCATTTGGATTCTCTCTCTATGAAACTACTACCATTATTGTCTTTGGTGTTATCAACTTAACAATTTGATCTTCTTTTCTTTTAAACAAAAATTAAAGTGATATCTAAAGAAGTTGATTTTTTACCATGTAATTATTTTTTGAATTAATAGTATCAATCTTTTAAGAAAAGTTTTAAGGATTTGATTTTTGATACTGAAAATTAAGGTTGTGGTAGTTACAAGATCAAAAAAAAAGATACCATCTACATTTAAAGTTTTTTTCTAACTCTTCAAAATATATGCTTTTATTTCCATCATTCTGGTAGTAAACTTCCTTATCAATTCCATTGTTTTCTTGTTTTGGTGTTTCTTTCGATGCATCAAACTTAATTGTCCTATAAGAACTTAATAATTTTTTTTTCTTAAATAAATTACAAAAGGCTTTGATCAACAATGTCCAATCAACTTTTATCTCATCAAATTATTATTTATACCACAAAGATGCCTTGTCTTTTAGATGTAAGAGCAACAAAAACAACCATGATGCCTCATCTCAATCACCATTAGGCATGTATATTCATTAAAACTATCTCATAAATTTATTTAGATTTACCTTATCAGCTCTATAAAAAATTGATATGGATTTTATTATGGTAGCTTTATTCTATCTTCCACTTGTAATAGAATTTACCAAATCACTATTAGTTTGCAAAAAAAAATCTTTTACAAATTTTTCTTCAAAACTTTATTCAAAAGAATCACATTATCTTTTTGGTGATTTTTTTTATAATAACAATTGATATTTTTTATGCATTAAATAAACTTTTTTTTTGCCAAAACTTTCATAATCTATTAGCAATCTTATTTAGATCTTTTAATATATATTTTATTTTTATCAATTTAATTTATATTTTTAATTTTTCTATTTTTTTATGTTAGTTAGTTAAATTGTTCAATTAGACTTATTTCAAGGATATAAATCTCAAAGAAAGAAATCCTCAATATACTCATATGTCACTCAAAAATATTAAAAAATCACTCAAAGATGGTAATAAATTGAAATAAAATGACTATTTTTAAAGATAAGAAGACTAAAAAGTCTTAAAACAAGACTAAAGATTAAAAAGGCATTAATATGAATGAAAAAGGCTTCATTCTTGCCTCTATATATACTATCTAATTAAGAGTTATGTGGCAATATTCTATAAGACCTCCAACATATGTTGACTTTGTTAAACACATGTTTTAACTTGCGAGGCAAGTTTTTTATACATGTACCACATAATTAACTTATTTTATAAGCTATTAATACATATGGCATATGGTTAACTTGTTGACTAAGTGTTTAAGTGACCAATCAACTACAAATATGTATAAAATCAAAACCATATCTATAAATCTTTTAAAAAGCTTCTCTAAAAGTTATTATAAAATTAATCTATTTTTATCTACTTCTATTTAATCATATAGGTAATTATTAGAATAATTATATATATCTATGATATTATCCTCCTTTCTAGGAATAAATTTCATGAAGAACAATCAAAATCTTTTATAAATCTTTCTATTCTTCATCTTGGTTTTAATGGATGTTGTCAATAGAAAGCCTCAATTCTCTTTGTTACATTTATAAGATTCTTTGTTAGCTCCCATATGTATTCATTAATATCATATCCATGCCAATGAATAAGATATTCTAATCTATTTTGAAGCCACCTTAATTCTAAGACTTCTTCTATCTCAAACTCTTAATTATTATTTACTTCTATAGGAGGAGGTGGTATTTATTTTCTTCTCGAGATATTCATTGTTTTATATAGCTCAAAAAGAGACATGTAGAATATGAGATGGATCTTCATAGACTTTGATAAATACAATCAATAAGCAACAAGATTCACTTATTCACTAATAGAAAATGGCTCATGTATATAATAATCCAACTTGATACAAGTGCAGCTAGTCTTCATATGGTGATGAAGTAACCATATCTTGTTGCTAACATAAAATTCATATTGTTCTTTGCAATAGGCATCCATATTGGTATTTTGTTATTTTTGAGCTTCTTTTAATTATGCCATCATTGTTATAAGTAGCTTAGATAAATAATTTGTTAAATCTTCTATTACAAGATTATTAACTTTTGAAAAGTCAAAAGCATCAAGACATGGATGACAATCATAATTAAGAAAAAAATATGTTTATTATATAGAAGAATTTATCATATTATTATAAGCAAACTTTACTAATGGCAAAAGAATTATCCACTTATCTTGTTGATAGTTGATGGTACATCTTATATACTACTTCAAAACTTGGTTTACATGTTGTGTATGTCCATTAGTTTGAGGATGGAAAGCAAAAGAGAGCTTTATATCTATTTTTAGAATCTTAAAAAAAATTCTTTAAAATATTGATATAAATTGAATCTCCCTATTTAATATAATATCCTTAAATAATTCATAATAGCAATATATGTTGTCAAGAAAAAGCTTAGCCATTTCTTCACTTGTAATAAATTTTTTACATGGTACAAAAAGAATTATCTTGATAAAATGATTTACTATAATAAACATAGAATCATACAAACTTAAGACTAAAAGATCTGTAATAAAATCTATAGCAATAGATGACTATGATTGTTTTGAAATAAGTAATAGTTAAAAAAATCCATACAATTGACAATGAGGAGTTTTGAAGCTTGAACAAATATCACATGATAGTACAAAGTCTTTGATTGTCTTCTACATTTGAAGCCACTAAAAACTCTAAATATTAGTTCCAAAGCCTTGTTGTATCAAAAATATTTGGTTGCAAGAAAGTCATGATATGCTTAAAGAATATGTAAATGTGCTTTTCTTTCTGGTATATATAGGTCACCTTCAAAATAGAATAGGTTGTTCTTAAACTTAAACTTTGTTCATTTCATAAGACTTAGTAGAAATATTCTTGATATCATGAACAAGAAGATCAGAGGACATATTTGATTGAATTTTCCTAACAAAAGTTGAGTCAATAATTAATGTTGATTTGATTGCTTGAAGATAAAAATACTCCAATTTCAAAAAAATATACATATATATTATTCAAAAATTAAATTTCTTTCTTTTGATACAAGATAAAAATATGTAAAAAAGGCATTTGATAAATCTTATTGTTTTTTGAATCGACAAGTAATCTTGAAATTAAATCTTGATAAAAACATATTCCAATAAGCTTGGTAACAATTTAAAACATGTGTCTATATAAATTATTTAAGATTCTTATAATTTGTATATAAAGTGATTGAATTTGAGGCACCTTCTAGATAATGGTGCCATTCTTGAAATAAATCCATGATTGCAAGAAGCTCTTTGTCATGGATCTCATAATTAATTCTGATTATTTAAAATTTCTTAAAATAAAAAATTATGTAATTCTATTTATAAAAAAATAACACTCATAGTAAAGTTTGATGCATTTATTTTTATAAAGAATATCTTAAAAAAATTGATGCAATACAAAATTGATGCAAAAATAAATATTATCTTTAAGGCTTTAAAAGATGCTTCAGCTTCATTGCTTTACTCAAGTTTGTCATTACATGTCAAACGTATAAAAAGAGCTTCAACTTAAAAAAATTATTAATAAAGATCTTATAATAATTAACAAATCTCAAAAAATATTTTCTGAGATTTTTAAAAAACACATCTCATAGTATATTTCAGCTCTTTCAATCTATGATAGTCTAAATTTTCTTTGGATCGATTATAAGACCATCATTTGAAATAATGTATCCTAAAAAGCCAACTTCAATAGTGTGAAATATATACTTTTCTATCTTGGCATATAATCCTGCATCTCTTAGTTTTTATAATATATGATGAATATGAACTTAATGCTCTTTTATATTCTTTCAATAGATTAAGATATTGTCTAAATAATAGATAATAAAATCATTAAAAAAATTAAAAAATATCATTTATTAAATATTAAAAAGTAATTGGTATATTTATAAATCTAAAGAGTATGATATTATATTTAAAATATCCATATCTAGTTCAAATTTAATTTTTTATTTATCTCTTTTTTTAATGTATATTAGATTGTATGTTCTTTTTAGATCTATTTTTATATAGATCTTTGCTTAATTCAATTAATTAAGAAGTCTTGAAATCAAAAGTATAAGATATCTATTCTTGATGATAAGCTTGTTGAGTCTATAATAATCTATATATATCTACAGAGATTTATCTTTTTTCTTCACAAATAAGACAAGAGTCTTGGCTAGAGATTTAGAATAGTGTATGAAATTTGTAGTCAAATTTTTATCAATATATTCTTAGAATGCAACTAACTTGTTCTATAATAGGCTTTAGATTGGTCCAAATAGTGATTGATATCCTTCTTAAAGATTAATAGAACAATCATAGAAGCAATATTTTGAAAGAATATCTACATTCTTCTTTTGAAAAACATCTTGATAATCTTTGTATTAGATTAGAATGTCACTTGAGATCTTTTTTCATTAATAATAGCTATAGCATATATAGCAAAAGTTGACTTTTTTTTTGCAACATGTATGAAAGCTCTTTTACCTATTAATAATGGTTTGAATATATTGGTCTAATGAATTTCTGCTTGCCTAGCAAAATCTTAAGCTAAACTAAAGAAAAATCCAAGGTTATGAAAAATTCAATCTATTTAAGATTATACTTTTTTAAGGATGATAATCCTAAAATAATTGAATTAAATGGAGATCTAAGCATATTAAATATTATTAAACTATTATAATCATTAGTTATTACTTCTAAAGGAATAATTTTATATGTAACATTTTTAGAAGACTACAAACAACTATTTGTTACTTCTACATGCACAAATTTGGTTTTTTAACTAAAGATATATCTTGTTTTTTGACAAATTCTTTATTTATAAAATAAGTTGAGGGTCTTAAATGTAACAAGGCTAAAACTTTGTAATTTTTTGATTTTAAAGAAAATTATATTATAAAATAAGATGAAAGATTTGAAAAGAGAATAGAATCTTTATTATGAATTATGTAAGATTTCAACCATACAATCTCTATTATACCTAAAAAAACTTATTTTCTGATACATTGTCTCCTATGGCAACCATGCTCCTTATATTTGTGATTGCATTGCTTCTTTAAACAATATTGAATAGTATGTTTAAATTCTCCATAATATAGATACAAGCCTTTTTGACAACTATGAATCTTTTCTTATTCAGTAAGTTTAAAATATACTTTGTTAATTTATATATGATTTGACTTAAATAAGTAAGCTTCTAAAAACTTAAAAGTTGTCACTATAGCTTGATTTATACTTCTCCAACCAAATCTTTATTCTTAGCATCTTTTAAAAAGTTAATTATCACATATAATGGCTTGAGCAATAAATTTCTCTAATGAATCTACATTCGGTATTGCTAACAATAAATCTTTGACATTATCTTTTAATCCATATTAAAATTGATTGATAAAGGCTTTATCATTCTAATCCACAATGTAAGTAAGATTTTGGAATTTAGCAGCATATATAGCGATTAAATATTATCTTTATTGTAGCAATACAAGTTTGGTTTCTATTACCTTTTTTTGATCACTTTTTTCAAATGTAGCCATAAATACTTTAAAGAATAAATTCAAATTATAGAGTGGTTATGAATCTTTTTCTATCAAAGATGAAAACCAAAAAAGAACACTTTCCAATAGAAGTGTGTCTATATATCAAACTTGAGTAAATCCATTGAAATATTGGAAAGGATGCAATCTTAAATAGAGCTTAACTTGTTGCAAAAATCCTCAAAATTTTGATCTTGTTCTATCGAACTTCTTAGGCATACTAATCCTTACATCTCTTATGCATCTAGAAGTGAAACTTCTTAAATTTGGTTGTGAAGTTAATCTATTTACTTCTTTTAACTATACAACTTTTTAGCATAGACTTTGGACTTCTTTTGTATGTATAAAAATAATAATTCTATGATTCATATTAAAAATATATAAGAAATCTATTATTAGAATATTAACAAGCTTATAAATATTTATAATAGTTGTAAATCTATTCTCACTTTTTCTAAGAGTAGCATCCATAATCTTTTTTTTATAAATAATTCAAATAAATTTAAAAAGTTAAAATTAGATGAAGGTAATCTACAACTTTTGATATCAAATAAAAATTTCTACAAAAAAGAATAATCTACTTTCTTTAAGAAAAAAATCATCGCTAAAAATTTAAACTTTTTGTTCAAAAGTGAATAGTCCATAATCTTCAAAATACAATAATAGAAGTGGAATAATCCACTCACTTCTAAAATAAGATAAAAATAATAAATTAATATTTTTTTCAAATTATCAAGGACATGAATCTGAAGAAAGAACTATCATGTGATCTCTTGCTTAAAAATACACCAAGCACTTGGCTATAGAAGATAAATTGGAAATATAATAACAAGGTTTCAATAATTCTAATAGAAGCTTAGATAAACTTCTATTGAAGCTTAATAATCTAAATAAAATCTTAATAAAATTCAAAAGAAATATTTAAAATATTATAAAAAAATACAATGAATTTTTTTTAAAATCTAAAAAAATTATAAAGAATTTTATAAAAATCCTAAAGAAATAATATAAAAAAAGATATTTTAAAATATCAAAAATAAAATTCCAAAAGAAATATTAAAATTATAAATCTTAAATATATCCTAAAATAAATCCTAAGTAAATCCTAACCAAATTTTAATGAAATACTAATGTAATTCTAAGCAAATCTTAAGTGAATCCTACCCAAATCCTAATGAAATCTCAATATAATTCTAAATAAATCTTAAATGAATCCTAACAAAATAAAATCTTAAATTCTAAATTAAATTTTAATGAAATTTCAAATAAAATCCTATTAAAATCATAATCAAACTTTAAATCCTAAATAAATATTTAAATTCTAAATAAATCCTTAATCAACTATATAGCATATTGATACCTCAATAATTAATAATTTAATAGTAGATTTTGACTCAAAATTTATTTATTTTTTGAATATTTAGTAAAAAATAAGCATAAATAATTTGAAGAAGATTAAACTTATCAAATAGAATATAATTTCTATAATCTGCTTGGATATAGCCGGCTCTCTTTTTAATTTTAATGCTAATCTTTTAGTACTAATATCTCTTGATTTTACAATCTAATGGTTTTCAAAATTTATACAATTATTGAAAATCATGTCTACTACTAATATAAGATATTTTATTTCAATTTAACTAGCAAATTAGTACAAATCTTAGGAATCCATATTGATCTTCTGAGCTCTAATTTCTAAGACTTCAATATTTTGAATTTTAATATCCTTCAAATAAACTATTTAATCAAGTTCAAACTTCTTATTCATATTTAACACAAAAATAATCACTTAATTACTAAATTTAATTTATAAATCATCTTCTAATTTTACAAAAAAAATTCAAAATATAATTTTTTATATTTCTCAAAAACTCAAAGTCACCCAAAAACAACCTTGACTTTGCAAAGCCTTTATAAAGTCATGAAAAAATCAAATTACTTAAAACTAAGGTCCAAAGAATCTTTTTTTTTTTTGTCTTCTTTTTAATCTTGCTCCCCAATCAACTAATAAATTTAAGAATTGTTTCAAGTGCATGATTTTGTGTTTTAGAGTATGTTTTTGACGTTGATTAAGAATGATTCCTCTCCAAGTATCTCGGTTTCTTAAGATGATTTATGCTACAAACTACTCTTAATTCTTTTCTAAAGATGTCTATATTAATTTTTTTTCTTATTTATTTTATTTTTCTTCATTTATAGCTATAAAAAATAAATAAAAGCTTGTTTTATAAAGAAACAACATTAGCACTTACTAATTTTACTACCTTCTTCATTATTATCAATATTTTTTAAGTATTTTGCTACAATTTTTTTAATTAAATTCTTCTATAATATAATCCTTCTTTTTTTTCTTTTATCTAATAGCATTGTTATAATATCATGTTTTAGTAATGGAACAAAATAAAATTTATTATTTTTATCTTTAAATTTTATTTATTATTTTTTTATATTTTCTACTATATGTTATAATTTTTCAGAAAATTTGTCCAAAAAGGTCTGTGTTCATTCATTAAAAAATATAATTATTTATAATAATTTTTTTGACAAAGCCAAATTAGTATATTTTTTTATAATAATCTCCTTAATAATTGAACTGTGGTTCTCCCTCTTTGTTTTAAAAACAAGTCAGCCATTATCTAAAGGAAAGTTAATCTCATCACTTCTAAAAACAAATTGATCTTCTCAACATCAACTACATTGATCATCTTCTAAACCTCTTACATACATTGTTTTGACCAATTCACTTTTGAATAGTTCTTTGCTCATGATGACAACATTATATTATACACGCAATCCACTTTCACTCTCTATTAAAGCAAACAAAAACCTTTATTTATGACAAATAAAGTCCATTAGAAAAGCACTTTTTTTTCATAAGTCTATGTTAGAGGTGTTGTAATAATCTTCTGTTTTTTATTTGAAGCAAGAAAGAAACTAACAAAGGAGTTTCTTTCACAAAGGAAATGCCAAGGAAAAGCAGAAATCTGTTTTAGAGAGTTTATGTGGTAGTTTTGGTTGATGTTGGAATTGGTATGAGGTTGACAAGGAGGGGAAATGATGCGTTTTAAGGAAGATGAGTTGGAATTCTTGCCAAAAGAAGGATTACTGACGGGTTGGAGGGATCTACAAGGTGGCGTTAGATGAAGCTTGGTGTCTAGTTCTAGTCGGTGATGAAGGGCAAATGAAGGCAAATGGTATTTTTGGAAGAAGACATGAGGTTGAAGCAGCAACATTGGAGGTGCTAGGAGGGCGAGGAAGTAGTTGTGGAACAAGTAGATGCTATATGAGAATGAAGGGAAGGTAAAAAAGAGAGAAAATGAAGAATTAGAGCAGAGCTGAAAGAAGAACAAAAAGTTGCCTGGAACTAGGAAATGGCAAATAATTGGCAAAAAATTTGGACACAACAGTACATCTTACAAAATTTACTTAAGACATCCTTTTACACTATGATATACTACCACATTTTGATTTTTATGTTTTTAGATCAATATAAGATTATTTCTGTAATTATTTCTAATATTTCTTATTGGTGTTAATCAATGCGCATAACACCCCTCCTTACCACTCCAGCCCAGCATTTGACTAAGGATCGGAGGGGAAGAAAAACCATTCAAATCCCATCGGATGAAGCTTGCAATCGGGGTCGAGAACGACAGCATCTAGTAGAAGAGGGATGGGGACGGGAAGTAAAAGATGAGTGGCAGGGGCGGAGAACCCAGGGGAGGGAGGGGAAGGGAAGGGAGAAGAAGACTGCACAAGGCAGGCAACCAGGCAGGGCAGGAAGTGGATAATGTGCTCTTTTTCCGGTATATGGCGCACCATCCTCTGCTCACCTAAGTCGATCTCCCTCTTCCCGCTTGTCGCTCATTCTTGTTCCATTTCACGCTGCCCTCTCTCTATCTAAGTCCGCAGGTCACCTTCTCGCGTATCCGTGAGCGCAATGGCAGCCATGGCAGCTCAAGCTTCTCTTATGAGCAGCCCCGCGAGCCTGGGGGCGTCGAGCTCCGTTGCCAGGACCGGCGAGCAGGGTGTCAAATTTCAGTTGGCAGTGCGCGCTCCCGTGTCGCTGAGGTTGCGGTCACAGCAGAAGAAGTCGCTTGTAGCCAAGGCTGCCTTGGCCTCGGCTGATTTGGAGCAGTTGTTGGAGAAGGTGAAGAACATGACCCTTGCCGATGCCAAGGTCTTCACTGACCGGTTGCAGGAGGATCTCGGGATCACTGCCATGTCATTCGCGCCCAGTGGTTCTGCGCCTGCTGCTGGTGCTGCTCCGGAGGCCGCCGCCGCGGTGGAGGAGAAGACCGAATTCAACTTGGTCGTGGAGGAGGTTCCATCCTCCGCCAGAATTGCCGTTATCAAGGCTGTGAGGACCCTGACCTCCTTAGGATTGAAGGAAGCCAAGGATATGATTGAGGGTTTGCCCAAGAATGTGAAGGAAGGAGTCAGCAAGGAGGACGCTGAGGAAGCCAAGAAGGCCTTGGAGGCTGCTGGAGCCAAGTGCAGCATCAAGTGAGGTTGGTTTTTGGAAGCAAGTTGTAGTTCTTTCTTTGTTAATGACCAGATTGTTCTTCTCTCGTACCTTGCAGGGCTTAGGGTATATCCCGGCAAGTCAAATGGCATGCTTATTAATGCCATACTTATTAGTCGAACAGATTGATTCTTAGGTTTAAGTGAATTGGTATGTAGTCTACCAAGCCACGTCCTCAATCGCTTTGCAATGTCGAATGCAGGTTGGGTAGTTCCCTTGCAGAATGACTGATCTCTTCTCCATTCATGTTTTCTGCGCCCATTGAGTTCCATTGTCCACGTGAATGTCTTACATACTCATGCTTCTTGTATACCGCATTTTTATGATTTAGATTTTTAATTTTATACTTGTCTGATATTGTTATTTTAGAAGGTAGATCCCCTAGAAAGCTACCGGTGCTGTGTATAATCTTTATTGATAGATTTCACAGGTATAAGCTCCTAAGCTTGTAGTCACTATCGTTGCACTCGCATTACCACCCGGAGGTATCCTCTTCGTTCTATGCATTCGCGCTACCCGTTTATTGCATTCTCTTCGTTGATTTCCTCGGAAGCGGCACATGTGGATTTTCTAAAGATGTCTATATTTTGGCAACCATGATTGTCAACGCATCGTTCTATATCTTAGCTAAATCCAATCCTACCGGGGACTGTATCGTACTTCAGATACATCTCGACATGGACTTGTGTTCCAACTTGACCGAGACAAAGTGTGCTGGGTCATTCAATCATCTCTTGTTGCATCCTTTCAGATATCCGTGCTGAACCTAGGCAGTAAAAAAATTATTCACAATTTCTTGATCACCATACATCGAAGTTAATCATTCGTCTTCTGGCCGACGTGCCTCACACTTGGCAGTGAACCCTGGCAAGGGATTGTCGCAGACAGGGGGGAAGCAACCAATAATGTATTCTACATTTAGTACATCTAAAACCCAAAACCCACCTATTACAAACACCTGTCTCTCTAGTTGGTACACTGTGATGTCGTCAGTGACCACTCTCACCTACCCTTCAGAAAACTGCCATCGTGCCAAGAGTCGAAATCATCGAAGGAGACGAGACCATCGGTGACAAGTTAGACGATCACCATACCCTTCACCTGAGTGATGTGAATGTTACCTTCCGACTTTCTGCAGTTCCCTGTGAAAGTTGGGCACGCCATCAGACAGGTGTGCTGGAGTGATCAGTGCTGAAGAACGGAAGGCATATAAAATGTGGACGAAAATGAGTTTTCAGTTTGAAGAAGTGGGCAAGCAGAGAATTTGACTAGCTCTTGAAGGTTTTCATTATTTGTGAAGCACACGTCTTCTTTACTACTGATAAAAAATCAGTGTGATTTTAGAAGTATGTTTTAATTTCAAGGTTTCTCAATTGATCACAGTCATTTAGATTTGTATACCATCATTTTATCTGGCACAATCCCAAAAGTTTTTCTCATGCGTCAGCCTAAATGTTTCAGATTGAAGGACTATATATATATATATATACATATATATAAACAATTATCCGCAAGTTTTATTTAAACCTAGGTTTAAAACTATATTTGATTAATATCAATAAAAATACTACTAAATTGTCTCTATACTATTATTTATCTCCTTTCTACTTCATAAAAGAAAATAAATCAACCTAATCCGTTCCAAATTTTCTAAGATGTTCTCTATGATATTTTCATTGAAATCATAAATTCTAAGTTAAATGATGTGATGTTGGAAATCAAGGTGAACGGACCTGGAACAAAAGGAGGGGACTCAAATAGTGTGAGGGTGTGAATGGGGAATGAGACGTTCATCCAAAGTGGATGAATGAAATTGTATTCCAATGGCAGGCGCGGCGAAACCCTTGGCAAGCCCTACCTACATAGTCCACTCCACGCATCTCAAGTTGCTCTTTCGCTGCTCGCGCTTTCTCTGCTTCGTGCCATCGCCAGCCCCACGCTGTGCCTCGCCTCGCTGCGTCTCAGCCACCATGGTGCGTGTTCATCGCTTCCTCCCCATGCAGCTTTCGTCGACTCGTTTCTTTGCGTACGATGAGATTGTTATTTTTTTTTCTTCCAAATGTTGTACACTTCTAGGGTTCGTGCATCTGTGACTGAAAGCTGGTTGTGAACAGTCGCTCATTGCGGGCGAGGAATTTCAGCACATTCTTCGTGTGCTGAACACTAACGTCGATGGACGTCAGAAGATCATGTTTGCCCTGACTTCGATTAAGGGAGTTGGGCGTCGTTTTGCAAACTTGGTGTGCAAGAAGGCCGACGTGGATATGAGCAAGAGGTATGTCGGTTTTGGTCCTATGAGCTTTTCGCTGTGCAGATGTTAATTGAATGCTAGTAAACCCTTCCATCATATGATACTAGACCCGTGTGCAGGGTATGTTCTTTGCGAGTGCAGGAGGTACTAGGAGGTGTAGTTAGGCATGCTGGTGTCTTAGTTCCTTTACTTTGTTGAGTGACGCGTCGCGATTTTACTTATAGTTCTTCTTTTGGCTTTTTTTGGTTGTCCCCAGGGCCGGCGAATTGTCTGCAGCCGAGCTTGAGAACTTAATGGTCATCGTTGCCAATCCTCGCCAGTTCAAGATCCCGGATTGGTTTCTGAACAGAAAGAAAGACCACAAGGATGGTCGCTACTCCCAGGTCGTGTCCAACGCCTTGGATATGAAGTTGAGGGATGATCTCGAACGTTTGAAGAAGATCAGGTATCCACAAATTCTTTTTCTAATTGTTGTTGATGTACGCATATTGTATCACAGGCTGTTTTAAGCTGCTGCTGTCAGCGTTAGTCTAATGTTCCTATGATAAATATAATTTGAACCTGGAGTGCATTTTGGGTCCGCAGTTAATTCGTTTTTTGTCTGTGGCCTTAAGACATGAGTCGTGTTGTCAGGTGTTCAAATTTTCGGGGTGTCTTGTTTGTATCATCCCGGTTTACAGGTTGTCGGTTCTTTGAAGATCTGGTTTTGTTTTCTACTGATTGGAGTCGACTGTGGCTATTATTGCAGGAACCACCGTGGTCTTCGTCACTACTGGGGCTTGCGAGTACGCGGACAGCACACAAAGACTACTGGACGGCGTGGAAGGACCGTCGGTGTGTCCAAGAAGCGATAGAGTTTTTAATCTTTTGTCTGAAGGGTAATAAACATTATCTTTCAGCGAGTTAAATCGTAGTGCCAGCACCATTCACAATTTTACGCAATTCAAGCAGGTTCTGTATGACCGACTTCCTAAAATCGCTATCATGGAGGTGAAGTTTTTGTCGATTTCACAATTCTTTTGTTCTGGTGATATTTTGAATCTTTTGAAATCCAGAATCGTTTGCCTTCACTTGAAGTAATTATTAATTTCGAGATGAAATGTAATGAGCAAACAGCAGCTGCATCTTCTTCTGTTTCTCAACTCAATGATGATTTAGCCACACGTAAGATATCAAACGTTTTCTAAACTCACATCGTTGTGAAACTATCTCAGTGACAAGATAGTATGTCTCGGACGTGTCCACACTGGTTACTTGAACATCTCGAACCTCTGATGAAAATGGACTTCAACTAGTAAATCATCAGTAGTAAGCAGCAGTAACCAATTCTGCCCTTGAGCACTATCAAATCTACTTGCATAAATATTGACACTTTTGACTACTGGTTGATAGTTTTTGAACTTCTTAGCTACGGGCAACTTGTTGCTTCACATCAAGTACACGCTTTTAACTTTATCCTCAACTTAGTATAATTATACTGCAATAATAACTTTCATATAATCACGTTAATTCGTCACTTCCTGTTAACTCTACACCAGGTAAGCTTTTTGTACATTATCACATTAAGATTCCTATTTTTAGTCAACATGTTCACGCTGTTCTATGTGAATGGCGGTTGAAGAACTAATGTACATGCCATGGTTCGGCCACTATACACCGGGGAGACTCTTTTTCACAAAAAGTCATAGACCTTGACAGTTTCCAATTTAAGAAAGAACACTGAAACAACAGTGTAAATAACGCGCGTTTCACGTGAGGCCATAGTTTCGTAGCGAGTTAACTAGAAAATGCAGTATTGTGAGAATCAATATTGTGGTTTTTAAGAACATTTATGGAAATCTCTAAAATCCTCAATTGCGAGATCTGGAGTAGAAAAATTGCTACACAACAGCCATGCAAACTACATTCAAATCATGGTATTTCACCACTAATCTTTTGCGAAGATAAACGCACTTAAATCCTCTCAGATTTGTAACCAGTAGGCTCTGCAGTAAGGATAGACAATATAATACAACTACATGCTATCAAACCAAAAACTTATGACATGTTTTGTGAATGTCTTGCAGGATTAACACGGCATAGCACTTTTTAACAAAAATCTATTGCTCAAGTTGTTGGTCGAGTCATTGTGGACATTCCACGACCATGTGTCATAGGCATGGTTGCAACAGACTCCTCATCTTCTGCACATGCGAGATACCATTACTTTTAAGTGAGTGAAGGGGAAAATTAACAACCACCACCAGAATCACCTAGCAACTAGCTCCTCTTTGAAAAACTATATGAATAGACATAAAAGAACAATATGCTTCGTGTGAGAACGTCACCAACACAATCAATCAGTTTAATACATTGCCTGGGGAAAAAGAAAAAAAGAGGGAGGGAAAAAAAAAATCCTGTACAAGTCGTCTTCAACTATAGAAATCAAGGGTGCATACTCAGTATGAATGCGTTAAACTATTTCATGCAAGTTTAGAAATAAAACATACCAATGACTTCTTGTATCACAGTTTCTTTGTCGACTTCTGCTCCAGCAATTCCCATGCATGTGAACAGGGATGTTTCATCCAGACTGAGGTAATTGTAGGCGTTGTACACATCCTCTGCTGTTGCTACTTCATAAAGGAACGGCAAATCCCGTAAACAACCCACATCCTGCAGTTCGAAGGAGTACATAATCACGAGTGTCACACCGTCAATAGCTACATGGACATCACGGAATTTAAAACTAATAAGTGCTAAATGCTCTTCACATATGCAACCATGAGAATTTCAAAGGAAATAAAAGATTTTGGTTAATAGCGGGTATAAATAGACATTACCTTCCTACTCACAGAAGGAGCCTGAAGATGTGTGAGCAATCCTAACCAATATGTATTGTCTTTTGAGTCAGACTCATGTCTCATCAAAAGTGTCCTCTTTGCCTGCAAATGCCCACACAATTATTTATTTAAATACAAGAGTCTCCGGCCCGTAACCAAAGTACGATCATTTTACCAAAAAGGAGCAGACAAGACGCCCAAACTCCAAAGGAAAGGGTTTCTGAAGTAAGAAGACATACCCGATCAAGTTCTCTTTGATTTATTCTGCTGCCTTGAATACTACGAAGTACATTTAGAGATGCATCAACAGCATATTTTATCTGCAAGATGAGATGTTTATCATGACAAAACTCAATATTTATCAACAACAACAAATCCAACTCAAGCTGACAAACTAAGGTATCACGTACAATGCATAACTGCAGTGTTGAACGCACAGTAACCAACACTCAGGCAAAATTAGTACAAGGAGGCGATCCGGAAGACATGAAAAGAGGATACCACTGCTAAAACCTAAGTTTTAAAAAGGCATCTCACCTTAGCAGGGGTTGAAGTAACAGATATGACAAACCAGCCGGCCTTCAGCCGATCAAAGAGGCTCAGCTCAAAAGATACATCATACGTCAAACCTAACGCATCCCTAACTGTTGTAAACAACCTGCAGCAAACAAAATGTACACTCGATCAAGGCCCTTGTTCAAAAGAAGGAATACAATTTAATCGGATAAGGAACAGGAAAACAACCGTATACCACGTCCTGTACATTGAGCTCAGACTAAAAGCAAAAGCTATTGACAAGCCAATTATGTATGAGTGTCTTCAATAGAGATGAATGCCTAAAAATCTTGAAAGATTCTCATTTAAAAAGCTAGAAAAAGATGATAAACCCACCGAGCATTGATAATCTCTGCCAAAAGTGTCAATGCGACGGATGCATACAAGGGATGACGGTGCCTCTTCCAGCAAAGAATATCATTACTATCCTTAATTACTTCTACACCAGGTGGAGCCAACGCTCTAGCTTGCTCCTCTGCCAAACGGCCGCGAACAATAGTTAGCTACGTTCCGATCTCAATATCACAAAATGGACATCTGATGAGCATTTTACTCCAGGATATAACAATTTCCAATAATCCCAAATAATCAATCGTCAAATAACAAACTATGAGGAGATATTCAAAAAGTTCAACCTCATCTGCTGAAACAAACCTGATAATGATGGAGGAACGGGTTCAATCAGAGTATTTAAATCTCGCCCATCTGAAGTGAATCCCCATCTATTGGGGGCAGCTCCAGCTATATACGCACACGCTCTCTCGTCTGTGTCCCTTAAAAACACCTGCAAATGCCATGTAACAACTTGAGCAAGGAGTAGGTTACCTCGTAACTCAAGGTACGACATGGGGCATTTATTGAAAAGAAAAACAAAAAACACAAAACAAAAACTATAATACGTGTTCAACTCGATCAACGATGGCTTCTTGTTGAATGCATACCTGCTGGCTTCGCAGTTCAGGAGTAGAACTTGCATTAATTACTACGGGCTTCTCCTCTTCGATACACTGCAACTGCTCGTCATTGGCAGGGGTGACAGTTCCGAGATAATCTAGCAAACACGATTCAACTTCACTTTCTGTGAAGTCACCGACAACACATACCTGAAAGCAAAGAACTGCATATTTAATATTTGATTGAAAAATCGATCTTGTCACACTATCATGGGCATGTGTACATAATTTATATAGGCAAAAAGTTTCCGAAATGAACCTCAGAGTATTAGACCTCTTGACCCAGTCACATACAGAACATATAAGCACACTCAAAACAAAAAACTGCGAATTCAACAAATCGAAGAGGATCTACGAAATGATGAAGATAAATGTCGCATAGTTGTTCTGCTCCTATACCTCCATGTTGGATGGAACCAACTGCTTCATCACGGCATCCCGCACAATGGGTAGCATCAGCTTTTCAATAGCTTCAGGTGAAGGTTCAATAAAGCGCTCTTCACTATTGAACATAGCGCGCATTAACCGATGAGCAGTCGCCCGCTCTAAACTCTTAGGCATCGCTCGATAATGTGACAGATAGAGCTGCTTAGCTCTATCCAAGGCATCGTCCAGCCATACGTTATGCTTCAAATAAAATAAAATAAAACACATTTGGATTAATATTACACACACCAAAAAAAAAAAGGTAACAGAAATCAACCACGAACACCTTGATGATACTCTGAGTGACGGTATCTCCACAAGATATGACGTCAAAATACAAAAACCACCCGGATAGGATATTCAAAGTCAAACATCGTATGTAAACAAAACTAACTTCTTCGATCACACTAATCAATCGAAGCGCCATATGATCATGGACTGTGACTGGTCTGTCGGACACGGGTCTACAAGCCAATAACGTGACACAAAAACATTTATTATTACCTCCAGAACCATATGTAGCAGCTGAAAAGTGGCACGCATGCCACCATCACGAAGTGTAAAATGAAAATCCATACACAAGAACTCCTCGTCTGCTTCAAGCACGCAATTGATCAAGTTTCCCACACAAAACAATTCCACCTGTTCAAACCCAACAACCAAAACCAAGTTAGCCATTAGCCAAACAGTAAAAATAGAAATATTAATTCTTGAAGCTGTTTTCCTGAAATCATACATTTACTACAATCTAACACGCAAGAATAATTGAATTGGTAATAACAATGTCAGCCGAGAGTTGCACCTGTCCTGTAAGCTGCCTAGAAGATTGAAATTGCAGAAAAAGTAGAAGAGAAAGTCTACCTGCTCTCTAGAAAATCCACCAACGGCTCCACCCTCACTGAGAGTCCGCACACCTACAGCTACCGCCCCGCTAGCGTCAGGCTTCTCCTGTGCTCTTCCACCAGCTACAACTAGCCTCAAGACTCCTCCTCTAGCTTCATTTTGAGTCATCTGTAAACAAACCATCACAACACAGTTGAAACAGACAATTGCAATAACTTTCTTAGTATTTAATCATCAAAATTTTGGGTGGTTTTATGTCTGTGCACGCACGCACACACACACACACATACAATTATATATAGTTATGTCTTTGTACAAGTTACAACTATACATGGCTTAGTAGTCAACACGCATAGAGCAAAAAATATTGCACCCGATTTACCATAAAGAAAACCTTGACACTAAGTATGCAACATTTACCACATTGGGGTCTACTAGGAATGTATAGCACTGAAAAAGAGAGAAGTAAAGTTTCAGGAGAAAATAGCACCTTGTAGTTTACACGGATGCCATTGGATAATCGACGCTGAATGACACCAGTTGAATCATCCATGAGCTTCATCGAATCCTCACCATCCTTTACTTGGACGAACCGCGGTTGTCTATTCATGTGCAGAGCAGCGAGTTGGACTGAACTCAAAAGTTCTGTTGGAACCTCAAGCTGCACGCGCATACAACAAAGTCAACTATGAACAACCAGATCTCTCCAGTCTAATCTCGAAGCAAACCACTGCTACAAAACACCTGCAACTATCCGAACCTTACGACAAGGCGTTGTCACGCTACATAAGGACCTTGCCTGGTCACGTGCACGAAGGGCCGACTTTTTACTGTCCTTTATTACATTTAGAAAACGTAGTAATTAACTTAAGCGAACCCATTTCAAATCGGAACTGCTCAAAAACTGAAGCTCTTGTAACCAGTCCCGAACGTTAACGGCGTCAAGCCAGTTCTCTAGACTAAATAATCAATATGATAAAGCAGGCTTGCCTCAGGTTCCGCAGCCAAAGGCTCGATGAGTCCATCAGAAATTGCACCAAGGATAGCCTCAGGGGTGATGTCGAAGTCCTTGTCTCCCACTCCTTCAACATGAAGATACTTTGGTACGCATGCAACTATTGCAGCTGGTAAAGGTGCACTGGGAAGTCCAAAGTTAGCGATGTACTCCAACATTTTTGCGCCAGCCGCATTCACCTGTTGAATACCAAGCCATACACCCATCCATTGTGAGATACCTAATAGATCACTACTTGGTAAAACAATTTGTAACAAGTTAAACTAATAGAAAGAACGACGTTTATATCAAAATAGAAAGAAGGATGGTGATGAGAAAGCAAGACCAGGTTGTTACGATATGAGATCCAAAAGCCTTTATAGGAAGCACAAGGTAAGGGCACAAGCTTACATCTTCCAGAGTAACCGTGCTGGCAACAGCCATCAGACTTTCATGACCTTGTTGTTGGTCCATGACAGTGTGGCCCAGGGCATCACTTTCCATGATAAAGTCAAGATTATCAACAGACGGTACGTTGTCTATCATTGCTGCAAGATGTTCGCTGTCTTTAAGCAAAGCATTCAAATAACGATGAAGCTCTCCTCTTGTTACTCCAAATTTATGTAACCTTCTAACCTGCAACAAACAGGAGGCTTCTTGTTACAGGTAATACAGAAGGCACCTAATCAAATATTTTTTGAAATTGCACCTTAATATACAATTGAAAAAACAGTTCCAAGAGCCTTCATGGGACTACCGCATATAGTCTTCACGTTTGTTCACATCAACCATACTAAAAAGATATAAAATCTGTTTTTTTCACATAATACCAAAACATTATTATAAAAATAAAAAAATAAAGAAGTTCATTCCAAGAGCAAAGTGGCGCCAACCTCTTGGACTCCGACTTTAACGGCGCCTTCCCAATGATTAGGCTCAGCGGTTACTGTAAGAGTAGTAACAGTACATCCTTCTCTACCTGAGTCACTGTGGTCCAGCTCGATTCCATTGAATGGCGGATTGGCGCTCTGCGTACAGACAACCATCAATATCTAGAAGGCGTAGCTAGCTAGAAAACAGATTGAAATTTCAACTATAGTTCAAAGTAATAACAACATTACAACTGAACTAAAATAACAGCACAACGTTCACATACAAAGTACATTCTCGTAAACCTGCAATGACGCCACTAATATACCTTATAGCGTGTATTTATGCGAAACTGAAGCGTTGATAGAATGATTCGTCTCATTAAAACATCTCTCAAATCAGAAAAGGTCTGAACTTTTTGTACGGGAGTCTGCGCAACAATCCAAAAAGTTTTGGAATGAGAAATAAAAAAATGTCTCAGCAGTTGTGAGCAGATATATATCTAAACAGCAAAAGAGGAAACTTTGACTACCCTCACTACCATGAATTAGTAATGCATACATCAACCTATAAGAATATGAATACTGAAGGCGATTATGAATGAGATAATGTGGATAATCGACAAGAATCTCAAAATTAGGGGTCTGATTGTGAAAATCAAAATTACCTTGCAGAATAAGCTGATGGAGAAGTTCTGAAGAAGCTCATGTTGGAAGATAACCGGTTTTTTTAGCTGGTTCTCAGCACCTGGCAAGGACCATGTGTGTTGTACCGGGGGTCTAATAGCATGTCTTTCCTTCAAGGTTGCAACTGTCATGGCAGTTGGGTTAATGTTCTCCAAGGAAGTGTTGGTCGATGTGATCACCCCTGCTGGTGTTGAAGCAAATTGTGCCTATCCAACACCATCATCTAATCAATGTTCACAAGTGATGACATGTATCCAAGCCTTGCACTAACTAATTACCCAACCCATCTTCTGAAAACAATAACTGAAGGTAGAGAAACACATTAAGAAAACTAAGGATATCAACATCAAAGTAACATTAGGGATAATCTGGCATACCTCGATCATCTCTATAGTCCGACTGATGCTGCCAATATCACCAACAATAAAAAGAGTGGCATTCGCTGGGAAATACCAACGTTCATGAAAAGCTTTAATTGTTTCAGGGTCCCACTTCTTTATTTGCTCCTCCAAACCTATTGGAAAGCGATAACCTAGCATGTTCTCTGAATGCAAGTGCTGTAGGAGCTGCAGTCGTGCGTTACCAGGTCACAACAATCAGGCAGGAAAGAGCTTGGTCTTAATAATAAGAGCTGAAAAGTATGAAATTAAAGGTAACATGTAGAAGTGTTCTTTTAGAAAACTTACGCGACAAGAAAAACTGACAAAAACTTCCGAAGATAAAACTACAAATAGATATCTCATGCATACCTGACAATCGACCCTGTACTCAATGGTATTCATCATCTGTAACTCCGATAGCACTGCTCTTCTCTCCTTCTCAACGCGTGATGCCAAGAATTTAGGCTTAAACGCAATCTGCTCGTCACCCAGAAAATGACTTATTAATTAACAGCCCCTATCGTTAACTCAGAAATGGGATAGTAAATTCACTGTTGTGAACAGAGTCGTACATCTAAACCTCACACGCGACGCAGTACAATTATCTTCGATCACCTGAACAATCCTTAAAAAAGAGATTCCACTTGACTCAAGTTCGCTTTGTAAACACTAGAATTACCAGACTTTGTCAAAAGAGTCAAACGCTTACCTCATGAAGTGCTTCCAACACAAGAGGAAGCAAGGGCTCTTGGGAGCCTTGAGCGGTAACAGGTGAATGTACATGAAAGACTGTATGATGAAAATCTGTATACGCATTTGAACGAGCGCCTGTCCCTAAAAGCTTTTCACGCTTCTTGCTCCCAAGGAAAGCCACATGTTCTATCATGTGCGCAATACCCTGTTCGTTTTCTGCTTCATCAACGGAGCCAACATGCATCTCCATATGTGCCTCAAATCTGCCAAACTCATTCAATGATTATCAATCCTAATATAAAGAGTGGGACTAAACAATAGGATTTGATTACCTGCGAGTTCCCCTCAATTTCAGGAATAAAACCATCCTAACCAGATACGTAAAGCGTAATCCATGTTGCTTTGAATGCAATGGCAAAGAACAAGAAATTTCCGTGAGACAGTACTAAGAAAAACTCTCCCTCATGGCTACATTACCAACGTTTCGGAGTTCTAATATGAGACAGTTCAAGTGAACCGAGAGTCCTCCATCAGGAAGTAAACATGAGCTGCAACCAAACTCGGTAAATCATACTATTCTAGTCAATACGACAAAGGTAACGAGGAAAATTAAACGAATGACTACACTCTACTCCTTGAATAAAAAGTACTTTTTTCCTAATAAACCAATCGTTCGTTATCAAAATGTAACGCAATCGTCTCTCTTGAACTATCAACTGAAGCGTTCGATAAGTGATAGCACCTGTTTGGAGGCACTTTGTTGGGCAGAATAACATATTGTAAACCGTTGGCCAAACGCCCATGGTGCAATTTGGGATGTGTAGGCAGCTTGGACACTAAAAAATCAGCTTCATTAATTTCGCTTCCTAGCTCATCTTGTAAAGCCTGCGATTGTTTTCCATCCTCAATTACACCTTCCTCCGGCAGCCAGGCCAAGTTTGCCGCGTGAGGTTCATGGGGACCTGTCGTGGCCTGTGTCAGCTGCCATACACTAAACCTCAGTAACAAACCAAAACATTATTAACATTTCAACTAAAACTTCCCGTTAAATTGTCGGATGCAACTATCAACAAAACCGTTTCTTGTAGTCAATTTTCATCTAAACAAAAAAATTATGCATAATTCAGTTATGTTTCATGTAATTAATCCCACTTTGACCATCAGTAAACTTACAAAAAGTGATCTATTCGAAAGGACTCTCCGCAGTCCATTGTAACTGTGAAAGTTGCGAGGACTTGGAGCTACCCAATTTAAGCTTGTCTTCCGCCTTAAATTACCACAAGTCCCACAAACAACGCGTTTTGGAGCTGGTAGATTGACATGGCGTTGCTGCACACTAACCCTTCTTTGTAGTCTCTTTAATTCGATCTTGCCATCCCCACCTTTTAACCATCTGGGTTACATTAAAAAAATCTAGTTTAATTAAATTAAAAATAAAACGCCAAAAATAGATTTAACCAATAGGTTTGAGCTTCCCTAGCAAGTGCAACTTTCATGCAATAAATCCGTCAAATAGAAAATCGCTCTACCAACCAATCCTGACGACCAAGTCGCACAAAAAAAGAAACATTAGAATTTCAACTATAGATATACGTTAAACTGCGCAAGGAATTAAAACCCATTTTCAAAATTAGGGCAAAGCAACAATAAACCCCACTGAAACTAATCCAAAATTCACCTAATTCCACGTGTTAAGCCCACGAACCTATGCTTGGAAGACGCAATTTGAAAAAAAGCGCGACCATGGCGCTCCGAATCCACCCCCGCAACCACCGCACTAGCAACAGTCCTGCCGCTAATTGCCGTCACACCAGAACCTGAAATTCGACTAGATGTCACCCGAGCGCGCGGCGACGCCAGCCAGCCATCCTGCTGCAACCGCACCACCCCCACAGCAGGAACCGCCAGCATCGCTGCCATGGTTGCCCTTCAACCCGACAGACCACAGCCCCAAACCTTCTTCTTCGTCTTCTTCTTCTTCTTCTTCTTCCTAACAACCCAAGACCTAAAAAAAATGAAGAAATCAAACCAGAGAATGAAGCAAAATTCCTTCCTCCCTTCAACACCAAATCTGTAGCACACGGAGCCTACAGAGAGGATGAGGTTTTTCCACGTGAGAGGCACCACCCTAGAGTACGTCGCGATTCACGAGAGCCTCCCCCGAGAGACGGAATCAAGGAATCTGCACTCCCGGGAGGGATTAGAAACACAAGAGGGAGGGAGGGATAGAAACAGAGAAAAAGAGAGAGAGAGAGAGAGACGGGGTGGGGTGGGGTGGGAGAGCGAGTGCGAGAGAGCGAGAGCTCTGCCCGGGCTCCCCTTGACCGTGTGGGGATAAGGTGCTGCCCGCTGCCCAACTTTCCCTCGACACGTGGCGGACTCTAATTGCGTGGATGAGTTCCTGGTCCACCGCCTCCGTCGATGGGCCGCAATCGCATGAAAAAAATCTTTGCCCTCCCCCCCCCCCCCCCCCAAGACTGACCTGATAACTTATATCTTCTCCCCCCCCCTTTTTTTGCCTTCTTAAGACTGTTATTTGTTGTTTTCATATTGGGATGCTTTCCCCACCTTTAGGATAATTCCTCCCATTTTATTTTTTCATGTAATTTTACATGTTTCATGTTGCACTTCGTGGATTCATAGTGGTTTGAATTATTGTTATTGTGAATGAACATATTTAGTTGCACGTAGTTTTGATAATAATGTGTATGTTGAGTTTAAATGTGTAAAAAAATAAGTAAAAAAAGAATTAAAGCATAATTTAAAAGAGTAAAAATAAAAATAAAACAGACTATTATGGATTTTACAAATAATTATTTGGTAAAATTGACACACAAATAAACATTCTAAAAATTTAAAATTAAAATAATACCAATGGTCCAGAGGTGGTTTTTTCCAACAAGGATGTTAAACTCCATCTATCTTATTCTTCATTCTATACCTCTAAAAGCAAACGACAAAAAAACTTGAGTCACGAAGATTGATAATGTTGGAGATGGCCTAAGTTCTATGTATACAGTGTAGAGTTTGATACAAGTTTCCAATTTCTCTAGTTAAAAAAAATACGTTGTGATTTTAAAGATCAGTGTAGTTAAAAACGGATGAATTTTATTTAAAAACATAGAGTAAGTTCATAGTTTTAGGTATAACAATAATTATAATAAAAGGTGACATTGTTGCATTGCAATAAAAACTAATTTACAAGCCATATCAGTAACGTTTCAGTTTCATTAATCATTAAAGTTATCACGTAAAATATCAAGTATGACATATTGTTTGGAAATGTATGATTTAACAACAGAAAAAAAAAAAAAAAAAAAAAAAAAAGCTCTTACAGAATAATGTGTGTGTAGATGATGTTACAGATATCTTCACTATTTAAAGAGAAGAGTACATAGAGGTTTTATGTGATAGTTTTGGTAGATAATATTTTTCTCAAGAAATATCATAAAACTTCTTTGACACAAATTGGATCCTTATGTGTCATTACATGCACCTCATGACACACATCTAGGAAGTTGCAGTGAAAGTATCATACAACTTGGGCATAATATCTTCCCACCCTTGTGGTCCTTACAAAACTAATTTCTTGGTCTTTTTATCAGTTAATATATATAGGAGCAAAATTGAGGTTATGGTATATCTTGTCAGTATATATTTTGATAATTTATCTTATTTTAAGACTCTCTAATTCTTTATCTTTGACAATGGTCATTGTAATAATAACATATTAAATAAATTTTCTTCCTTTCATTCTCTTTCTTTTTCCACAAATTTCTACTGGTTTATGTTCTTGATAAATGATTAAAAACTCTACCATGCTACCTACAACATTATAATTTGTAAGAAACAAATAAAGACTACAAAGATATATAAATATATCTTTTGTATGATTTATGTCAAAATTACTTTCTTTTTTTCTTTTTATTTTTACATGGTACAAGGAGAGTATCATTATATATATATATATATATATGTAGTAAAATTTAAACAAAACAATTTTTTTTAAAACATATATTTTTTATTTAACATATTTCCTCAAATTGTAATAAATTAATGCAAGGATATGAATACACACACACACACACACACACACATATATATATATATATATATATATTTAATTTCAAATGTGCCTTTAGAACTTGAATGTTATGAAATATTTTTTTAACTATAAAAATCATTATGTCTCTTTGTATTCAAAATGTAAAAATAAAATAATCCATATACAATTAAAATGCAAAATCTTATATTCTTGTTATATTTCAAAAAGAAAAAGAAGAAAGAAAATATTTAAAATTATGCAATTGCAAATTTTAAAATTAAACTTGAAACATATGTTTCAAACATACAACCAGATTTGCTAAATTTTGTATGTTTCTAAACTATGATCCTTTTGGTGTAAATTAATGGCACTATTAATTTTGATCTCAAATATTGTGTAGACGCCCTTCATGCAGTTCCTTTAATTTATTAAGATCTTAAAAAAAAAGATAAAAAGAAAAAAAATGTTCTTATATTTCAAGTCATTTGTGCAAGTTGACCACATAATTTAATATTGTTTTTCTTTGACATGGATGATACATCTAAATTTTAATATGTGTTATAAATTGATCAAGCAAAAAATAATACACCAATTTATATTATATTGTTATTTTCATAATCTTTGTCAATAGTAACAACATAATCATCAAAAAGTATTCAAAGAAGAATGACAGTACTATGTGTATGTGAGGCTCAACGTGTGGAGAGTGTCCACGGCGCAAAAAGGGGTGTCTAACTAACAGTTCCCTTAATTTTACGTATGTTTTTAATACATTCATTCAACAGCATTCTCCAATTACATAAACACATGTCAGCATGCAGTTAAATCCTTTCGAGTTCACGATAAAATGGGTGTTTCATGGAACGTATGTGAGATCTAGGATTAGGGTTTCGATCCTAAATTCCCGCAAATCTGCACTGCCGCACCTCCAACGCGATGCTACCAACGAGGACCGTGTCGATGGCATAACTCCACAATCTCGTCCCCTCCTGCGACGGAGACTCTGGAATTACCGAGTTCGCCACCTCCTCCACATCTTTCATCACCAGAAATTGTGGCTGCCGCAAGGACGTGCAAGGACGTAAAAACGATCTGTGAATCGGTTCGACGCCACACCCTCCTCCTTGCTATTCCAGGGGGCTGGTTCAACAATTGCCGCCCCTGTAGATGACGTTTCGCTTTCGGATCCAGCAGATTTCCGACCGACTCCATTACACACTCGGAATTCGACGGCCCATGGTGTTTTGACACAGAATTCAGCTCGCCCTCCGCCTGTGCTCCCATGTTTCCTGCGCAGTCTCTGTCCACAACTGAGAAATTCCAACTGCAGAATGTTCGGGCACAACCACGTGTTCCACACATCCACATTGGGCCGCAATGCTCCTTTCGCACCTCTAGTGCAACACTGCACGAGCTGCCCCACCACTGTCACGAAAACTGATGAGGAGGAAGGGCACCAATGTCCCCAAGCCCGTTCTCGCTCAAGTCAAACCCTTCATACTTGAACTCCTTGGACATTAAACCCGACAATTGGCAAGTTTTCGCAATTCTCCGAACTATACTGCACGATCGCCGCGGCGGCTAGAGCCTTGTAGGACTGAGGGGATCGAGCAACTTCGGGATTCCACACAAATCCATTATCCTACTGGATTCGCTCCCAAATGCTCTCATTGATGCTTCCATCCAATTCCCCAGAGGCTGGGTGGGCGACAAGAGTGCTAACATATTATTTCTATCTTCTTCTAGAAAAAGAGTGGATTACCCCACTTCTATTATTGTATTTTGAAGATTGCGGACTACCCACCTTTAAACAAAAAGTCTTGTTTTCTAACACTAATCTTTTCTTTAAAGAGAGTGGATTACCCCTCTTTGTGGGATTTATTTTTAGAGGTTATGGATTACCTTCCTCTAATTTAATTTTTAAATTTATTTGAGTTGTCTATGGAAGAAAAATTTATGCATGCTACTCTCAATGGAAGTGAGAATAGATTTGCAACTATAGCAGATCTTCATGAGCTTGTCAATACTATAAGAGTAGAAATCTCATGTATTCTGAACGTGAATCATGGAAGTACTATGCCTATGCCTATGGAAGAAGTTCAGAGTCTGCGATAAGAAGTGCAGTTGAAAGAAGCAAGTAGATTAACGTCACAATCAAATCCAGGGAGTTTTGCTTCTACAAGTATGACACGGATAAGGATTAGTATGCCTAAGAAGTCTCATGGAACAAGATCAAAATTTCAAGGATTTTTGCAACAAGTCGAGCTCTATCTAAGGTTGCACCTTTTCCAATATCTTGATGGATTTACCTAAGTTGAATTTATAGGCACACTACTATCAGGAAGTGTTCTCTCTTGGTTTGCACCTTTAATGGAAAAAGATTCATAACTCCTTTATGATTTGAATTTATTTCTAGAAGTGTTTATAGCCACATTCGGAGAAAGTGATCAAGAACGAGTAGCAGAGATCAAGCTTCTATCCTTACGAGAAAGATCACGATCACCCACTACATATGCTATCGAATTCCAAAATCTTGCTTGTGATGTGGACTGGAACAATAAAGCACTTATCAACTAATTTTGATATGGATTGAAGGATAGCGTCAAAGATTTGTTATTAACAATGCCGAAAGTAGAATCTTTGAAATAATTTATTACTCAAGCTATTGCATGTGACAATTATTTATTTGAAAGGCATCATGAACAAAGATTTAGTTAGAGAGGAACAAGTCAAGTAATAGCGGCAGCTCCCAAATTTTTTGAAATATATTCGTCAAAGCCGGAACCAATGCAAATTGATATGATACATTTTAAACTTCTCACGAAGCAAGAAAAAACTTGACGTCACTAAGAGGGATTGTGTTTATATTATGGAGAAGCTAAGCACACTGCTCAATATTTTCCAAAGAAGCAACACAATTACAAACTCAGGAGCACAATTACCAAAGAAGATAGTATGTCGGAAAACAAGTTTCTCCAGCTACAATAGAGATCGTGTGGCTGGAATCATGTGCAATACCTAGTAAAGGTCCTATCCTCTCCTTAGACCCGTCACCTTGTTTTTTAATAGAAGTATATTTAGAACCTAATAATCACAAAGTCTTTGCCTTGTTAGATTCAAGAGCCTCAGCATGTTTTATAGATGAAGATTTTGCCAAAAATCAAAAAATACCTTTAGTGAAGAAAGTTAAATCTGTAC